TGTTGTTACTGTATTCTGACTCTCTGTTACCCTTTTATTAAAAATCTGCTCGGTAGCCATTCATATACTTACCTAATTCCTTGTTCTGCTTTTCTTAGATGATTGTACTGAACCCAAACTTCAGATCATTTATTTGTTTTCTTCTTTCTTCCAATGAGACTATTGTTAGGTTCACATTTTTAAATCCACGGTTCAGCTTCTACTATATTTGTGGTGAAAGGTGAGAAATCCATTAGGCTTTTCATTTTTAGGACTTTTTTTTTTTTTTTTTTAATAAATCTGGGAATTTGTAAAGAAAAAGTGGTAACTTTTTTCTTTAGTTTGTACTGAATTCTAAAACCTACTTAATAGAAGCAATGAGTGCTTCTAAGCTAGTGTGAGCGATTGTTAATGGCCAGTGGTGAAGTAAGTCTGCTGTTTGACTTTACTATACATTTTTAAACACTTTCAGATTAGGCACACTACAATTGCAAGGAAAGAAACACACACACACCCAAAAGCTATCTCTTGTGAATTTGGCATTTCTCTTTGCTTGTGAAGAGCATACTGCTTTTATTGCACTAGCCATTTTTCTGCATCTTGAAGCTCTGCCTGGTCTGCTCTTCTACGCACTGTCTGTACCAAAACTGTATTTTGGTAGGGTTGATGTATTGTTAAAGAAATGGTGGCTTATGCGTCTTCATCTGAGCCATTGATCTCTGAATGGTCACTGGGAATAGTTGAGCAACAAGGCCTCCTACCCAAGTCAGTACCTCCTCTTCTAACTGGTACTCAGAGGCTGTTACTTCTGTTTGCTTGTCCTTCTAGTTCTCTCTGGCCTTTTCCCTCTCAAGTAGATGAAATGGATATCTTATTTCATGTGAAACTTCTCAGATACAGACAACAGTGGGTAACTTAAAAGATTAATCCTTGATTTTTCCTTTGTGCCAAACTGCATTATTCAAAAATCTGAAAAAATTGCTTTCATCCTAGACGCAAATCCAGATCTCCTTCCCCTAGAAGACGATCTTCCCCTGTCAGGAGAGAGAGAAAGCGCAGTCACTCTCGATCTCCCCGTCACAGAACCAAGAGCCGGAGCCCTTCCCCTGCCCCAGAAAAGAAGGAGAAATCTCCAGAGCTCCCAGAACCATCAGTGAGAACAAAAGACTCTTCAGTACAGGAGGCCACGTCTACAAGGCATGTTCCTAACATCATGTTAAATAGTGTCATAGGCTGTTCATACCACCTGCAAATGTCTGTTGCTAACTTGTAAACAAAATGCTTGTTCCCCCCTCCCCCCTTTTTTTTTTTAACTTACAAAGTTAGTATGGGAAAATGAAGCTGAAATCACATGCATTATAAGGACAGTGCCTTAGTGTTTTGCCACAGGTGTCAGGTCCCCTAGAACTGGAGTCACAGACAGCTATAAGCTGCCATGTGGGTGCTGGGAATTGAACCCATGTCCTTTGGAAGAGCAGTCAGTGCTCTTAAGCCATCTCTCTAGCCTCCTCTGTTGTAATCCATAAAAGTTTTTATATATTGTAATGTGATCTTCCTACCCACTTGCCACAATATACTGTGGACAAATTGTTTTCTTCTTGTTGTAGAGGTTATAATCCAGAGTTTTGCACATGCTTTGTCACTGACCTGTGTTCTCAAATATCTTTAACCTCCCAAATATAACAAGTTTATTCATTTCTGTTAACTGGACTATAAAATATACCAAATAAAACCACTCCCTCTTCTGTGGGAACCTCTTGTATCCTCTGGATGCCTTAGGCTTGAGCATGATTCAGCTACTGCATGGCACCTTACATAGTCCACAATCCACAAGGACATGTGGTATGCAGTCCATGGCACTGCCTCCCCTGCAGTTGTGAATCTGCTCACACAAGACCTGTTTCAGTGATTACAAGTGCTATCCACAGATTGCACACATGATGGTTGAGTAAGTGAGGGGTTGCTGTCTGGTTGGACTTTGAACCATCAGCTTCTCTCCCTTCATGGTTGCAAAGACTCCTGGGGTCAGGCTTTGTGGACTCCAGCAGTTGGACAGTGGCACAGTAGTCCTTGCCCACACGTGAAACGGGGATATAAATTCTTAACTTGTTGCTCAGGGGATTCTGATGTGTGTCTATATTTTGAAGGTATTGAAAACTTTTTAAGATAAGGTGATCTGTATCTGTTAATTTATTAGTACTGGGGAACAAGTCACATTGTTGAGACTACAATTTGGACTCCTTAACTTTAATGTGGGTTCCAGGGAGTTTAACTGAGGTTTTCAGGCTTGCACCATAAATACTTTACCAAAGACAACCATTTTGCCAGCCCTTGAAACCCCTTTAAAAAGAGAACCAGGTCAGTATATTATTTTATTGGCTTAGGATTCTAAGAAGAGTAGAGAAAAAAACAAAATGTTATTTTCACAGTGACATCCTGAAAGCTCCCAAGCCTGAGCCTGTACCAGAGCCCAAAGAACCTTCTCCAGAAAAAAATTCTAAAAAGGAAAAGGAAAAGACCCGACCAAGATCTCGATCACGCTCCAAATCACGATCTCGGACCCGTTCTCGATCACCTTCTCATACTAGACCAAGACGACGACATAGGTCCCGATCGAGGTGTGTTGTGTCCTTGGGATGAGTATGAGTTTAGGTTGTAAGTGCTGACTTTCAAGGTAGAATTAAACTGGTGTGAAGAATGTTCAGAATGAAGGTTACTCTGCATTTATGTTAGATCTACTTTTCTGTGCACCATAAAAATTCTACATAATTTAGCCGAGCAGTAGTGGTGCATGCCTTTATTAATCCCAGCACTTTTGGGCCAGAGGCAGGGGAATCTCTGAGTTTGAGGCCAGCTTGCCTACAGAGTTCCAGGACAGCCTCCAAAGCTACATAGAAGAGAAACCCTGTCTCTCGGGGTGGGAGTGGGGGCTATATAAATGGAAGTTGTGGCATTGGAAATTAGTATCAAGGAATTCCTTGTTTTTAGTTTATTTAGGGCCTAATTCTGTTTGTTATGGCAGATCATATTCTCCTAGAAGGCGGCCAAGCCCAAGAAGGAGACCGTCTCCTCGAAGAAGAACTCCACCAAGACGGATGCCTCCTCCACCAAGACACAGGAGGAGTAGGTCTCCAGGGAGACGGTGAGACTCTTAGTGGCAGGTGCCTGGCACTGCAGGGTGGTTGTTGGCATAATTTCAGTTGTTTGGTGTTTGCTTGTTTGTTTTGTTGGTCTGCTGGAAAACAGATCTTCATAAATTTAGAAGACTAGGAAATGTCTTCTAAAACAGTGTTCTAAATAGCCCAGTTGTGCTTCAAGTATGGTGCCCCTTGAGCTGTGAAAAGCATCCGCTAGTGTTGGAAAAAGTAAAGTCATAGTCTTCTGGGCCCTGTGTGTTTACCTTCTAAGACTTGACTAAAGTTCTTGGTAAGGGACAGAACTGAGGGCCAGTGGCATACCGAAGTTGGTAAGATGCTTGGTGTGTAAGCATGAAATCCTGGAGTCTATTCCTCACATTACTGTACAGGTTCAGGGCACCATATCCTATCTGTGAACCCAGCACACTGGAGGTAGAAATTCTCTCTCTCTCTCTCTCTCTCTCTCTCTCTCTCTCAACATACACACACAAAGAACTGGCTGCTTTTCTGTTTGACTTTTAAAAATGTATTAAGTGTGTGTTTATTATGAGCACGACTGTTTTTGTTTATGTATACACATGCAATAACTCACACCTGGGGGTTAGTGAACAACTTTGGAGTTCATTCTCTCCTTCCTTTGGGTAGTTCTAGGGAATTGAGCTTGGGTTACCTGACTCGCATAGCAAGTACCTTTACAGTGTTTTATCTCTTTTTTTTAAGATTCATTTTGGTGGGGTGGTGGTGGTGCTTACCTTTAATCCCAGCACTTGATACACAGAGGCAGGCAAATCTCTGAGTTTGAGGACAGCCATGTCTGGTACACAGAGAGACCCTGTCTCGAAAAAACAAAAAGGAGATTTATATTTGAATATGTATATAGGTGTATATACTCGTGCAGAGTGTAGATATGTGCACAAGAGCATAGCTGCCTGCAGGGGTCTCAATCCCTTAGAGCTGGAGTCATAGTCAATTGTGAGGCAATTGATAGTGCTGGGAACCAAACTTGTGTTCTCTGGAGAGCAGCAGCCAATGCTTTAACTGCTAAGTCATCTCTCCACTCTTTGTAATAAAGCTTTGTAACAGCTCGGAGGTAACATAAAAGGAAAGTTCCCCATAATTCCATTCTTAGATACAGCTGATGTATAATATTTGTTTACACTATAAAGATGTGTCTTTGCTTAAGGTGCCTTCTGATCGATAAAGAGCTAACTGCTCAGTAGCTAGGTAGGTAGGAGAGAATGGGTGGGACTTCCAGGGAGAGAGGGGAAGAGGAAGAGGAATCTAGGTGTGTGGATTTGCCAGCAGACTCAGAACAAATCAGATGTATTGGATGTGTCCTATACTAAGAAGAGATAACTGAGCCATGTGGCAGAACATAGATTTTAAAAATATGGGTTAATTAAGTTACAAGAGCTAGTTGGGGGAAAAGCCTAAGTTAAAGCCAAGCTTTCATGTTAGTTAATAAGTCTCAGGCCGTTATTTGTGGGATGACAGTCCAAGGATAGCCCAAGAAAGCTTGAAACAGAGCTATTCCTAGTAATTTACAATGGCTACATTTGTGGCAATTAGACATTCATCTAATTCAATCAATAGTACTAACTCATTTTAAACATTGCTGAAATGTTTAATTTGCTTAACCATTCTAAAATGGATATCAGATAAAATGTTTTTATCTTAGATAAATTGTGTCTAACTTAATCCAAGATAAGGCCTGGTACCCAGGAACAGAATTGTCTACCTTACTGCTATGTTGCCTGGGCTTGCTTTTCAAGTCTGCTATGGACAGAACTTTGTTGTCCATTTTTCCATGTTGCTGCTGGTTGAACCAGGGCCTCACTCAGGTTGAGCCTGTGCTCCACCTCTTGAAGTCACCCCTAGTCCTGGAAAAGTTAGTGAGTTATGTTTTTACAGAGAACCACAGCAACTAGAAAATGGGGGAACATCCAAATAAGCTCCTCCAAGTTCTATCTGTGCAGGTAGGACTTTCTGACCCATAATTTAACAACAGTGAATATCATCTTCGGGGAGTATTGTCCAGGTACCAATAATTAAAGGTATAGAATTGCTGGTGGACAGGACAGACGTGTATATAACAGAATTCCAGGCATCACATTTATTCTGTTTTGAAGAGACCTGATGCCAGTGCTCCTTAGTACACTATTAAAGAAACAACGATTTCTTACATTGGAGTTTTGCAAATAGCGTGTCTCAGTAGTGTGCACTAAACTAAACAATTTAGCAGTCACGGTATTTTTCAGATTGTGTAAGATTCCCTTTCAGCCAGTTTTTAATCTCACTTAAGGTAGGGTTTCTTTTTTTCAGGTTCTCAGGAATTCTTCTGCCAAAGGTGAATTCTGCAGGTACACGTAATTGCAACAGAACTTAACCACAGATTTTGCTGCAGAATTCGAGAGGCCCCTACTTCTAAGTTTATGTAGCTAAATGAGTTTCAAATCTTGCACATATTTTTAGTGCACTTAAAAGTTGTTTGACATCACTGAATGAGCAACACACTTTCACCCCCAAAGTTGTACAAACTCTATAACCCCAGTATCACTCTTCAGGAAGAGGCTGCTTCATTACTGAATTATAGCATTCACAGCAAAAACACAATCAGAATGAGTTATGTGCATTTACTCTCAGAAATAGCTGTATCCTGTCCTAAGTTATAGTTTTACTTCCAATCTTTTTGAAGTAATTTGTGTACTTAGCTACATAAACTCAAAAGTTGGATTAAAAACTAGCTGTATTTTTGTGCACATTGTACAGACTGTGTGGAGTCTTTCTTCATGGGGATACAGGTAGTAAAATGAATGCTCTTTTCCACAGAAGGAGGCGTTCTTCTGCATCTTTATCTGGAAGTAGCTCTTCGTCCTCTTCATCTCGTTCCCGGTCACCGCCAAAGAAGCCTCCTAAGAGGACCTCTAGCCCCCCTCGAAAAACTCGTAGATTATCTCCTTCTGCAAGTCCTCCAAGACGAAGGCACAGACCATCATCTCCAACAACTCCACCACCCAAAACTCGCCATTCCCCAACCCCCCAGCAGTCAAACCGCACAAGAAAAGGTCGTGTTTCTGTGTCTCCGGGAAGAAGTTCCGGTAAAGGTAAAAACAGCATTCTGTTGTCTCTGGCATCAGGGTGAGCCCAGTTCCCACCTTCAGAAGCAGCTAAGCAGTACTTTGTATGTAACGCTGTAAATGGCTTGCCTTGCCTTTTCTCAGGGCTTTGCTGGAAGGGGACTATCTATCTTTAAAGGTAGTTTGTTTTTCCAATGCTCCTTGTGTGGGCAGGTGGCGAGCAGATTGCTATCTTGTGGGCTGTTTGAGTTGGGGTAACAACAATTGGGATTTGTGTTTTTACTGTAAGGATTCATTTTATTACTCTGAGACCACTTAACTATTTCACCTTCCCCATACCTTCTTTAGGCTTTTTGTTTGGTATCTTACTTGAGAACTTTGTGTTTTGTTATTCTTTTTGGTCATATTTATGCCCCAGAGGGAAGATTGACTGGTTGATTGATTTTAGAGCTAGGCAGGGTTCTTGGGTGCTGTCCTCACTCTGTTCAGTAGATTGATTTCTAAGAAATTGAAGGCCTGTGATTATGCCATGCAAGTACAATGTTTGTTGGTCTGTTATTGTGACTTACTGGGGTTTTAGCACTAAAATACACGTGGAGAAAGAGGATGGGGTCTATTGGAATAGTGTCTTTGGTGTAATAGAGGCAGGCAGGCAGCCTGAAATGTGAGTGGAGTAGGTTGAGAGGATTGGGAAAGCCCATTGATTGGGATTTCAAGGGCGTGCCACATAAGCTGCCCTCTTTAAACCTGTTAGACTGAAAGTGATTGATGGAAAGAGGACCTGCTGGTGATGGCAAGCTAAAAGTAATATGCAAATTATTATTATTATTATTATTTACTTTAATTCTAAGTCGATCCAGTGGCAGGTAAGATGTATTTAAGACAGCTATTTATCTTAAACATGCACCATATTACTTTATATAAAATGTGGACATTTCAGCCTTTCTGAAGTTCTCATCACCCTGTCCTAATCTGACACTTATACTGCCCTAGCCTGCTTGTCTTTCCCTGCAAACTCTACACTTGTATTTCTTTTGTTTAGAGCTAGAAAGCTCTCTAGAGGGAAGACAGTCTTAAGTGTTCCCACTTTATTTTAGAAAAAATACTCTTTGCCTTTTTAGATTATAGAGAAGAGTTACTTTAAAATACCAAACAGAAGGAGTTTGGCTACAGTGGGCAGTTGTTGGGATTTATTAATTAGTTAACTTTGTTTTTGTGATTGGAGAGGCAGTCATGGGTGCTGGGGCCACACTTAAGAGTCTGCACAATGTCAGTCTCTTCTTGTTTTGGCGTATATTTCCTACGCTTGTGATGGGTACTTAACAATCACGTTGTAGAGAACAGAGACTAGTTGTGTTCTGTGGGCTCTTGAACAAGCTGCTTTAGCCAGACAGTTGCACAGTGGTCAGCTTAGTCTGCTTATGTCCACTAAAGCTCAGAGTTAGTTTGAACTGTGTGGAAATAACCCTCGTGTTGAAATTTGAGAGCTAGAGAATACCTTGGCAGCTGTCAGATTCTTTGCTTAAAGGTGGCTTAGCCAAGATCAACTAGAAGAATTGAAGAGTTTGTTCCCAGTTAGGCAGTGCTAATGTCAAACTCCAAATGCCGTTGTGATGACCAGGGAGGAGGATTGGGGTCGGAATGAAGTTCTTTGGCTTCTTCACTAGGTGATTTCAGAGATTCCCACTTTGGGGGCCTCTGCATACTTAGAACTGCAGCACTGCTCTAATCTAATAGAGTTCTTGTTCTTATTTCATTTAGCAGATGTTCATTGGGGATCTTGTGATCTGCTATTGATAATAGGCTAGTAAAATGAGAGTAAGGGAAAAAAAAGTGAGGGAATTTGTGAATGAATCAAATCATTTGGAGTGTGGTTTACAGTTCCATTGAGGGTGTTTGAAGAAACTTTGAAAGAGTTATAATCCAGGTACTGCATATACTTGTACCTTAGTCAAGTGTCCTGGCACAACCTGTACTTTTTGAATCAACTAAACTATATAAATAGTGCTCTATGGGCGCTTAATGTATTTTACTATTTCTCGTTACAGTAACTTTACAAGTTATCTTTTGGGCAATCTAAGATTAATAATTAATAGGACTGTTGAAATGCTTTAAAATTTTGGTTTTAGAGTTGTTCTCTTAGATTTCTGACTTCATTCTAGAATGATTTGTTCCTTGAATTAATAAAACAGTATTAACATAACAGAGTAAGTAAAATTAAAAAATTTCATTAAGAAAAACAGAACATAGAAACACTTGTTACCTGTAATAATGGTTTTGTTGTTGTTGTTCTCCCCCCCTCCCCAAATACTTTCTTTGTGTGGCATTGACTGTCCCAGAACTAGCTGGTTTCAAACTGAGTGTTCTGTCTGTCTCTGCCTCCTGAGTCCTGGGATTAAAGGAGTGCCTCACTTAACTCAAGACTAGGATAAAGTGTATTTTATGAATGCTATTATAGGCTATTTTAGTTAAGCCATTAATGAGATATTAAGTCAGGATGAACCCTCCCATGTGTTTATTCCCTCTCTTTAACAAAATAGGTAATGTTGGCTAGGTGTGATGTTGTACTTCCCTCCCCCACTCACTCCCCTCCCCCCAGACAGGGTTTCTCTGTAGCTCCGCCTGTCCTGGACTTGATCTGTACACCAGGCTGACCTTGTATGCAGGGATCCCCCTACCTCTGCCTCTAGAGTGCTGGGGTGAAACACTTGTGTGTCACCGCCTGGCGAAAGTACACGTCTTTAATGTTGGTGTTACATTGCCATTCGGAAGCCAGACAATAGTGAGACCTTGTCTCAAGAAATAAGAGCGATGATAATTTTAGTTATGTTTCTTAAGAAAATGCCTTCTTATAGCCATACAGGCCACCTTCCAGATAGTTTTAAAATTTGATCCTCTGAGGTAGTAAATTTGACATGTAAAGTCTTGAGAATAGTATCTTGTTATGAACTCTAGGCTGGCGGCAGTCCTGTCTCAGGCCTTCTCTGTGTTGGGATTTTTTTTTTTTTTTTTAAATTAAGAATGTTCCATATTAGGACATAGACACACTTACACAAGTCTCCGCAGGCCAGAAGGGGCATCATATCTGGAGCTAGAGTTGCAGGTAGCTGTGAGTACTCATATGGATGTTGCAAACCAAACTGGGTCCTCTATAAGAGCAGCTAGTGCTCTTGGCCACTGAGCTTCACCCCAGCCCTTGTTACTTTTATGAATTTTAGAATGTTAACCATTCTCTACCCAACTGAGTGGTTTGTCCAAATAATGTTAATCGGTAGAATCATTAAAGACATGCATGCAGCTCAGGGATACAGGACTTATCTGCTTTGTAAGATTTAAATAGTAATTTTCTCTTGGATTACTTTAGCAAAGATAAGGTTGATGTGTTATAACGACCATCTATGACAATTCCTAGAGTATTAAATAAGGTATAACTATATTCTAATAAGGCATCCTACTGAAATTTATTAGTCATTCACAGGTTAAAGAACAAAGGGATGGCTTTGAGTTGGTGGGGTTTTATTTTGTGGTTTTGGTACAGGGTTTCTCTGTGTAGCCCTGGCTGTCCTGGAACTCCTTTGTAGACCAGGCTGGCCTTGTACTTGGAGATCTGCCTCCCAATATCCAACTGGTTTTAGTGCATGGGCTTTGAACAATCAGTGCAGGGTTCTTGCCAGCCCTGTGGAAGCTTTTGAAGCTTTCCATGTTTAAATTGTAGGTTAGGTTTTTTTCGTGTGAACAGTCATACCCATTTTTATACTATTAAACCATTCTTTATTGTGTGTGATTTTTGTTTTGTGTTTTTCCTTACTTTTTAGTGACAAAACATAAAGGTACTGAGAAAAGAGAGTCACCTTCACCAGCACCCAAGCCTAGAAAAGTGGAGTTGTCTGAGTCTGGTAAGCTGTAATGACTTACTTGATTGTTCCCCTTGGGTTAGACTGACTGTACAGGGCCCCACAGTAGAGAAAAGCTGAGCCTGGCATCACACAGACTATTTGAGATTCCCAGCTCTAGCATTGAAGTTCTTCGTTATTTCATTCATCTTAGCCTCATTCATTTTCTTCTATATTTGGGCATAATTCTGGGTTTTGACAGCTAGCTGAAATGTTTGTAGAATTCCTATGTCACAGCCTGGCCTGTAGTAAATAACTTTAGCAGTTGATAGAGTACCTGTTTTGCTGTTCAGTTGTGTCATATTACCTGTCTGTAACTAAAGAAACACTTTCTAAATGCATCTATCTTTCAGAAGAAGACAAAGGCAGCAAGATGGCTGCAGCCGATTCTGTGCAGCAGAGACGTCAGTATAGACGACAGAACCAGCAGTCTTCATCTGGTATGCACACCAAGAAGATGCTTTCTGCCACCACACCTATTGTTACCCCTGCACTTGGGAGGCGGAGGCAGTAGAGTTCCTGTGGAGTATAAGGCCATTAAGGGTTACATAGTGAGAATCCCAAAAAATTGCAAACCCAGAGAAGCCTGTAATATCAACATTCAGGAGGTAGAGAGGCCGGAGGGTCAGATACTTAGTTATTCTTGGCTGCATGGTGAACTACGTGAGGGACACACACACACACACACACACACACATACTTACTTACATACTTTATGCATGTGAGTATTTTACCAACATGTATGTGTGTCTGTGTACCATGTGTATATCTGGTTTCAGAGGAGGCCAGGAGGCATTAGACCCCCTGGGATCTGGACCTATAGGCTTTATGAGCCACTATTGGGTGCTGGGAATTGAACCGAGACCTCTGGAGGAAGGAGCCACTGACTCTGAACTGCTGAGGTCCTTCTGAATGCATGAAGGTGTGGAGCTAAGAGTTTGCCATTGTAGAAATTCTATGTGTCAGTTTGTCACTGTGTATGTTTCTTATTTGTAAGCCCTTAAATTTTTCTTTAAGTGTTACTTTGTTATGAAGGTGATAAATCGGGAGTGTGGCTCTTATGGTCTAGTGCACCTTAGTGTGTGTGCAAAGCTCTGGGCTTTATTCCTGGCATTAATAAAAATAAGGTAAATAGAGTACAATAGTAAAACAGAAAATGAAACTAATTTAGTCCCTAATATGCAGAAGTCTGGTTTAGAACATCTTAACTAGTTTTTGTGAATCTTTGATTTCTCTCTCTCTCTCTTCTCGCCTTGGGGGCAGTTGCCTTTTGGTGGTCATTAAGACTGCTTTTAGACATAGTAGACAGTTGAAAATTTCCGATAGTTTATAATTGTTGGATTAAAGAGAAAGCATACAGAAGCCTGATGTTTAAGCCAAATGCTCCATTCTTGGGTTTTGGTAGGTTTTATTTGGTTTTGAGATAGGTTTGCCTTGAACTTCCTGTGTAGCCCCCCCCCCCCCCAAAAAAAAAAAAATGGCCTTAAACTTCTGCTCTTCTTGAGTCCTCCTCCTAAGTGTTGAGATTACTGCTTTGTACCAGTGCAACCAATTAATTATATGCAGTGCTGGGGATGGGTACGTAACAGCCATACTCCAGTCCCTTTGTGATTATTGTAATTATTATAGTAATTTTTAATTTTCTATTTCAAGTAACATTGCTGATCTTCATTTCTTTAGTCATTGGCATGTGCATTTACACTAAGTTACTGAGTTGGACCAACAGCCTTGATTCTTTTGAAGCTTTACTTTGTTAATTGGAAATAATGGTCAAGTCTTTGTTCTGTCTTGTTTCTGAGATGGTCTCATTCATGCACACAAACTGACTTTCACTTGCAGTGTTACTGAGGCTGCTGTTGAGTTTTAGCATCTCCTTCCATCTCCCTTGTCATCGGACATGAACATTCACCAATAAGCCTGATTTAAAATCCCTAGATTTCTAAGAGATGTATACAGGCCTCAGTAGTCTTGATAGTATACTAGTCTTGTCCGCTAGTTTTCTGCTGAGTATGAGGGTATTGACCACCACTAGAGTTGTCCTGATTAAATTATACTGATGGTACTAAGAATTGAACCCATGGCCTTATACCATACTAGATAAATGCTGTATCACTGTTAGCCTCTAACATTTTCCCCGGTGCTGGAGCTAGAACCTAGGATTTTGAGCATGCGGTGTAAGGGGTGGAGGTAGGTGAGTGTGTGTGTGTGTGAGTGACAGAGAGAGGGAGAGAGTGAGTGAGTGTACGTATGTGTGACAGAAGGAGGGGGTGAGAGGGAGTGTGTGTGTGTGTGTGTGTGTGTGTGTGTGTGTGTGTGTGTGTGATGTTGTTGTTCTTTGCTCTGTGATTACAGACTCTGGCTCCTCTTCCACCTCAGAAGATGAGCGGCCCAAGAGATCCCATGTGAAGAACGGCGAGGTAGGCAGGCGGCGGAGACATTCTCCTTCTCGGAGTGCCTCTCCATCACCTCGAAAACGCCAGAAAGAGACTTCCCCTCGGTAACAACCTTCATTAATGATTTTTAGTCATCTATGGTTGGGTTGAAACTGTAACTTACAGGGTGGGCCATAAGATTATTTTAAAATTGGACTAACTAATTCTTCCTGTCAAAACTTAAAGATGGTTGGGTCTGGGATTTTGGTTAGTTTGGTTTTGTTGTTTTTTCCTTGCTGTTGGTAGTTAACATTAAAACTAGACGGGTTTTGAGTGATTGCCTTACTTATGCATGAATAGAAAGAGCAGTGAAATCGTAGCATTAGTTCTAGACATTGTAAGCTTTAAAAAACGACTCCACAAGAACTTAACTTGTGTGAATGGAATTCTTGACACTTGTTTTTCTCCACTGCTCCCAGGATGCAGATGGGAAAACGATGGCAATCGCCAGTGACTAAAAGGTTGGTTAGACACTATTACTGTAAATTAGGGCAACATACCAAGTTTACTTAATTTCCTGTTCAGGTGACTGTTCCCATTTTACAGATGCATTGTGTCAGTGGAGAAAGTCTCAAGTTACTCTTGAGTGTTTTTGGTTTTTCTTTAATCATGTTAGATGAGTGATTTGGAGTTGACTTTTGGTTGGTAATTCTGACTCCGTAAACTTAGTATTAGTAGGAAGTAACTTTGTATTGGGGTGACTTAGAGAAAGCGAGAAAAACTTAAAGAGAAACTTCAGAATGGCGTAAGGGTTGGTTCTGTAGTCTATGCAAAAGTATGGGGAACATATCTGTAAGGTAAAAGTCATGCATGTGTGTGGGCACACACATGCCACAGTGTACATGTTGGAGGTCAGAGGACACTTGAAGGATTGATCCTCCTTTCACTGCGTGGGCTCTGGGAATCGAACTCACAAATCTTCAGGCTTGGTGTTAAGTGCCTTACCTGTTGAGTTTATCTCAACAACCCTGGATGATTGCTCTCCCTACTTTCCAGTTATACTGAAATTCTTTTTGTTTTTTTGAACATTTGTGTTTATGTGACCAGGAAACCATAAAAAATTAAGATTCAAATCCTATATAAAAAGTATTATAGTGGGCTAGGCATGATGGCATACACCTTTAATCCCAGCACTCAGGAGGCAAGTGAATCTGAGTTCAAGGTCAGCCTGGTGTATAGAGTGAGCTCCAGGATAGCCAGGGCTATACACAGAGAAACCCTGTCTTGGGGGCGGGGGGGAGGAAAAAAAAAATAACCTTTTAGTTAGTCTGTCAGTGGCTCACATATTAATCCCAGCACTCAGGAGGCAGAGACAGGCAGATCTCTTGAGTTCAAGGCCAGCCTGGTCTACAGAGTGAGTTCCAGGACAACCTCCAAAGCAATGCAGAGAAACCTTGTCTTGGAAAGAAAAAAGAAAAATAACCTTTTAGTTAAGGCCAAATCTTTAACCTGTGGCACTGACATTCCATCTGTCATCAATTCCTTTTTCTGAGTTCAAGTTGAGCATCCCCTGTCTAAACTGCTTAGGAGTAGAAATGCTTCCTGTTTCCACCTTTTCCCATTTTAAAGTCTTTGAAAAGACCTTTGGGAAATGGTAATGGAGCAGAGTGGGATATTTATGCTGTATAGGGAACTTTTTCCATAATGAAAAAATAGAAATGAAAGAAATAAATTGGAGACAAAAATACTTTTCTTCCAACTGCAGTGACTTCTGGCTTCTCTGAAATTTCTAGACTAAACATAAAAAAAATGCTTTATACATAATTATGTTAGTGTTACGAGTTGTCATCTGTTCCCCCTGCCCTGAATTATAGAACTATGTTCTGTTCTGGGAAGACTCTTTAAAACAGTGAAATCAGAATTAATTTTCCTAGAATGGTTTGGTAGCACATGCATTTAATCACAGCACTAGTCCACATAGTGAGTACCAGGCTAGCCAGGGCTGTCACAAAAACAAAATGAATATTCTTTGCCCTGCCCCAATAGTTTTTGGGTTATATTGGCAGCTGCAAGTGTAAGGCTGTTAGTGATCATCGTCCATCCGGACATGGTGGCACACTCAGGAAAGCAGAGGGCTACATAGTGAGACCCTTTATCAAAAAGCAAAACACATTTTGGTTTGTTTCAGGCAGGGTCTTTGTATGTACCCCTAACTATCCAGAACACTATGTACGGTAGGCTGGGCTAGTACTCAAGAGAGATTCACCTGCCTGTCTCCTGAGAGCTGGGATTAAAGGACCCACTTGACAGAAAATACAATTATTTTGAGTTGTTCCATATCGTTTTTTGTTGTTTGTTTGTTTTGAGACAGGGTTTCTCTGTGTAGCCCTGGCTGTCCTGGAACTTCCTCTATAGACCAAGCGCTGGTGTCAACTCAGAAATCTGCCTGCCTTTGCCTCCTGATTAAAGGCATGCCCACCACCGCCCAGTTCAGTGTCATATTTTAGGGAGGATAAGATTATTTTGAGTGTTTATGTAAGGTGTTAAGATGAAGTACTAATCACAGGTATCAGCAAATCTAAATCAGATGTGGTTGGAAATGAAATCTGGTAGTAAATCTCTGGGTGTTCTTCTCTGTTTAGATGCCTGGTAACCTTTAAAAACTTAGTTCTAGGTTCACAGTGTCAGTCCTGATTGAGCAAGGAACCAGGGACTGTTTATATTTACTTTTGCCTCAAAGGTGACAAACTGTCTTAGCCCACATTTGAATAAGTCTTTTTGAGGCTGCTTCAAGTTGGTTGGTATGGGACTTCTTGGTCAGTGGCTTGCACTCTTTAAGTGTGTTACGGAACTCAGAATCAGAGTTATTTGGTTCATGAGTGTGGGGTGTTGTTAGCTATGATGTCCAGTTCCTTTTCAGTGCTGCACATACAAGTTTTGGTTAACACAGTAAAGGTTGGCCTAGGTGGTGGTAGCCCACGCCTTTAGTAGCAGCACTCAGGAGGCAAAGTTTCTGTGAGTTCAAGACCAGCCTGGCCTACAGAGAGAGTTCCGGGACAGGCTCCAAAACTACAGAGAAACCCTGTCTAGAAAAGCAAAAAAAAAAAGTAAAGGTTGGAGATAGTAGCTCGGGTAGAGTGCTTGCCTCCCTGTGCTCTGAACTTAACCCTGACATGATCTACATAAGTCTCAATAACTTTCCCAACTGATTGTCATGAGTATCAAAGCTTTAAAAAAAAAAAAAAAAAAAGTGTTCTTCTAGTCATGTTCTTGAAATTTGAAGTTTTTCACTTCCTCTATTGGGTAGTTTATGTATGTCATAACCAAATACATATTTCTTTCAGAAGCTAACATCACAAAGCTGTATTTTACCATACCAAAACTGAAACATTGAGTTTTGAATTTCGTTTTTAATATTGGATGCTACCCGGGGTCCCAGCCTTAGGTTGAGAACATGTACTCTGGAACATAAAGTCACATCTCTGCCCTGGGTGCTGTGGTCTTGGCCTTAGGACACAGCACTCTGCCCTGGGTTACTTGCTGGGAATGTGTTTCCTGGGGCTGTTGATTGTAAATATCACTGACTGAGAATCACTCTTGCTTTAGTGGTAGAAGGAGGAGAAGTCCCTCCCCACCACCAGCCAGAAGGCGACGATCTCCTTCTCCAGCTCCTCCTCCCCCTCCCCCTCCTCCTCGGCGGCGTAGATCTCCCACCCCACCACCACGACGAAGGTAAAGTGTGTGATAGACTCATGGTGTCTCTGGGTCTTTACCATTTAAGTTGCTTTGTATGGTGGCATTTCATCTCCAGTTGTTAAAAAAAAAAAAAAAAAAAAAGGTCATATAGTAAATGTGAGCTCCCTTATGGGAAAATCCTAGAACACACAATTCTGTAGAAACAGAAAGCAGGGCCAGGTGTATCATTTCTGCTTGCAGTCTCAACTCTTGAAAGGCTGGGGCAGGAGACCAGAGCAGCCAAATGGGGGTGTGGGAGGGGTAAGGTTGGGGAATAGCATGGCTGCACAACCACCAGAGGGACATTGACAGCTGCACTGATGTATTTATTGGTCCTGTGCATTTGGGATCCTTGATAATACTACCAGTTATACAGAATGATAGGCAGACTAGCTAGCAGTCTTAAATCAAGGGTATTCCATTGATGAGAGGAAGCCCTTGAATGTCAATCACGGGCTGTGTGTGTCAGCACATAACCCCTAATCCCAGCTCTTAAGAGGTGGAGGCAGGAAGAGCACTAGTTTGGAGCCAGCCTAAACTATATCGTGAGTTCTTGGTCAAATGGCATGTATAGCTAGACTCTGTCAGCTCAGTCACAGTGAGAGAATGAAGAATGGTTACAGGTTGGTGGGCAGTGATTGGTTAGTTTATTTCTGTGGATCTGTAAATATAAAAAGGGGAAATGTGAGTTTGTTGTTGTTTGTAACCCATGGCAAGCACTAACTATACACTGATTATTTTGTTTCAGTTTTCACTACATTTATTTAGTGTGCAATAGAGAAAGAAAGGCAGTATGTTTGTGTTTTGGGAGGTGGGTGTTTTGTTCTTGTTTAACAGGATCATACACACACACACCAACCAGACTGTCCTTGGATTTGGGGGCTGTCTTAGCTTCATACCTCCCAAATACTGCAATTACAAATTGGTGCCTAGCTAGAGTTACTAAATCCCAGTTCCACTCTACCACCTTGCCTGAATATTGGCTCATTGTAAACCCTGTTCTGAGCAAGAATTGATGTTGAAAGACCCAAGCACAAATTGTACAGTTAGCCCATACATTGTATTATTAAGTCTTAATTCCTAGGTGACATAACAGGACCTTGTCACCTTTAAGAGAAAAGCCAGGTAGAACTTTGAGGTAAACTCACACTAAAGAGGACTGGATGTCTGGACCAGCATGGTAGTTCAGAAGAGACAGCACAGCATCACTTCAAATAGTTATTTTGGTTTTGTCTGTATGCAGGTATTTGCACTGTGTACCTTGTGCTTATGAAAGCCAGAATGGCCTTGGATCCCTTTGAATTCTGAACCTTTGTGATCTCTACTATGCAAGTGCTAGGCACCAAGAGCTGAGCCACATCTCCAGCCTATGCCACATAGAACTCAGTCAAGCACTTTTCTTTATTTCATTTTCCTAGTTCTGGGTTAGCTAGCAAGGTCTCAGTGTGTGAAAGTACTTGTCATGCAAGTGTACTGACCTAAGTTTGATCCCATAAGCCACATAAAGGTAGATGGAAAGAATTGATTCTGCTAATCTCAGCATGCCACTCACTTCGTCACATGCATGATGTGTGGGTATACACACTGCTATAATATAATAATTGGGTTTTGGTTTCTGGATTCTTTTGGTTTCATCTCAAAGGTGTGGTTTTTTTTGTTTGTTTGTTTTCCCTAGGACTCCTTCTCCTCCCCCACGCCGCCGTTCACCTTCTCCAAGAAGATACTCTCCTCCCATCCAGAGGAGATACTCTCCTTCCCCACCTCCAAAGAGGAGAACCGCCTCACCCCCACCCCCGCCCAAGCGAAGGGCATCACCATCTCCACCACCAAAGCGCCGAGTCTCCCACTCTCCACCTCCCAAACAAAGAAGCCCCCCAGTCACCAAGAGACGCTCGCCCTCCTTATCTTCAAAGCATAGGAAGGGGTCTTCCCCAGGCCGCTCCACCCGGGAGGCCCGGTCACCACAACCAAACAAACGGCATTCGCCCTCACCACGTCCTCGAGCGCCTCAGACCTCAAGTCCTCCCCCTGTTCGAAGAGGAGCATCTGCATCGCCGCAAGGAAGGCAGTCCCCATCTCCAAGTACTAGGCCTATTAGGAGAGTCTCCAGAACTCCGGAGCCTAAAAAGATAAAAAAGTAAAAATATTTAATGCTTTTTTTGTTGGGAATACATGGTGTATGGCATGTAGAATCCTTTCCCTTATTGAACAACTAGAAAAAATAAGCAGGCTAGGCAGTGGTGGTGTATATCTTTAATTCCAGCAGTGGGAGAGGATGGGCAAAGGTAGTGGATCAATGAGGTCAGGGCCAGCCTAGTCTACAGACTTTCAGGACAGCTACACAGAAAAGGCCTGTCTCAAAAACCAAAATAATAATAAAAACTGTAGATACTGTTCATATTTTTCCCACTAGCTCCTTGTAGCATAAATGCTAGAGGCCTTTATTTGGTTTTTGACATCCGGTATTTCAGAGCTGTGCTTCTAAGACAGTCTAAAATGAAACAGCCTCTTTTTCTCTTTATTATTTTATGTCATTGGGGGTTTTGCTATATGTGTCTGCACACTGCTGGTTTGCAGTGTCATAGGCCAGAAGCAGTTATCAAAGCCTCTGGAAAGGTCGTTGCGGTTAATTGTGAGCCCTGTGGGTACTGGGAAATGAACCCTGTTTCTCTGGAAGAACAGAACAGCCAATGCTCATAACCATTGAGCCATCCATTTCTTAGGCCCTGAAAGGCATTTAGCACTTAGCTTCAATAAGCCAAGAAACTGCTGTTCCTAGTACCCTGTAGGTTGCATCATCAGTGGTAGAGAGTGGGGCATGAGTGACCCTGTAGAAGACTTAGGTGATGTGAAAGCAACCATGATGCCTCCTTTGCCTGTCTGTTCTCAATGCTGTGTTTTGTTTTCCCTTTCTGTCTAGGCCCGCCTCGCCAAGCCCTCAGTCCGTAAGAAGGGTTTCCTCTTCCCGATCTGTCTCTGGATCTCCTGAGCCAGCAGCTAAAAAGCCTCCAGCACCTCCTTCTCCTGTTCAGTCTCAGTCACCCTCCACAAACTGGTCACCCGCAGTGGCAGTCAAAAAGGCTAAAAGCCCAACACCAAGCCCGTCCCCTGCCAGGGTGTGTATGCGCCTTGCTCTGGGCATCTTTATAGTAGTCAGTGGGGGTGGACGCTGCAGGATCAGGAGTTGAAGACCAGCCTGGGCTATATATACAGTCAGATCCTGTCTCAAAAACAATTCAGTTACAAGTTAGTTAAATTTGTTAAATTCATATACAAAATTTAGTGTAAAAATAGTCTCCTGTATGGTGATTCAGTTAAATAATCTTTGATTCTATGGTATGAGTGATAATATGTTCAATAGAAACCATACTTTGAATTTTGATCCTCTTTTCTAGGTTAGTGAACAGCAAAAAATAACTGTTAACTGATATTTAATGAATTACATGAGCCATTCAGTGTTAATACAGTCAGCTTTGTATTATACAACTGCCTAGCTTTAGGCCAGTGTGTGTTCTGAGCATGCTGAAGGCAGTATGGCTAAGCCATGGTTTTGAGGAAACATAAAGATAGATTTTACTTAGATGGGATATAACTTACAGGGCTTATTAAGTTGTAGCCCAGTTGTAAGTGGAACTAGTTAGTAAGTGGGCTAGCAAGAAAGGAGACTCAGTGGGTACAGGTACTTGCCTCCAAGCCTGAAAACCTGAGTTTAATTCCCAGGACCCACATGGTAGGAGAGGACCAACTCCTTAAATGGAACATGTCTGTACAGTAGAGTGAAGGTGTGGTTCAGGCACCTTTTTTGTCTCATAGCTCACATATATTGAAACCCTCTACATAGTAGCCGAGTATTGTGTATTAAGTGAGGTTGCCCCTTGCTCATGCTCAGGAGCTGGAAGGCAGCTCATGTCAGCCCATGGCTCCAGCTGCTGACACTCCACTCACACCCTGAAGTTGGAAACCTGGCAATGTTAAGTGTCTGGGCTGGATTTGTGGGCAGGCCTTGGCTTTGGTGTGTCGTTGTTGGTAGTAGTTGTCTGTGCTCCTGTGAAACATGTATTTGTCTGAGATTCCCTCAAGGAAATAAAACAGGATTTTAATCAGGTCAGCTAATTACTTCACTATTTCTTTCTGGGTTTCTAGAATTCTGATCAAGAAGGAGGTGGAAAGAAGAAGAAGAAAAAGAAGGACAAGAAACACAAAAAGGATAAGAAGCACAAGAAGCACAAAAAACACAAGAAGGAGAAGGCTGTGGCTGCAGCCCCCGCAGCCCCTGCAGCCCCTGCAGCTGTTTCTGCTGCCACAACCACATCAGCGCAGGAAGAGCCTGTGGCAGCCCCAGAGCCCAGGAAGGTATTCACACCACCTGCCTGTAACACACTCACTGTGTAGACAGGCTAGCCTCCAGCTCAGAGATCTGTCCACCGATGCCCAGTTTTGTTTTTGTTTGTTTGTTTGTTTGTTTTAAACTACTTTCTGGGCAGTGCTAGGGACAAGAGTACAGGACTTTCTGCTGTGCTTTAGGCATGTGTCCCTCCACTGAGCATACCCCTAGTCACACACACTAAATGCAACCCCCCAAAAGTTCACATAATGGAAAAAAATGGGGGCCCTCCCAAATAACTGACAATGGCTGGATTTGTGTGTTTACCCATCAGTGTACATGTAGAATCCATTGGTATCTTTCCTTTTTCTCATTTTTATTGCATTTTATCTGTGTGTGCACGCACTGACACATTCACACCCACACACGAAGGACAGTTTGGATAGTCTTCCACCATGTGGAGTCCTTTTGAGCAAACACAAGTCATTAGGATTAGCTGGGCTGTGGTGGCACATGCCTTTAATCCCAGCACTTGGGAGTCACTGAGTTTGAGGTCAGCCTGGTGTACAAAGCTACACAGAAAAACACATACAAGTCATCAGGGTTGGTGGCAGGCTCCCTAAGCTTGCTTAACAGGTTCAAGGCCTTGGATGTGGTTCCCTTAGCCCCGGATAAACTGGGTGTGGTAGTATGGGTGCTTATGAGGTCAGCATTCGGGAGGTTGAGGCAGAGAGATCAGAGGCTCAGGGTTGTTCTGGCTCCTTAACAAGTTCTAAACAAGCCTAGAATACAAAGAGACCCTGTCTCAGAAGTCATGATTTAAAGTGGGTGCTTTTTGTATGAGCAGAGTATGTTAAGTTCTGGTCTGTACTCAGCACCTTCCACTGTGTCTCAAGACTTAACATCTGCCTGGTTTGGCTTTGTTTTCCAGGAGACTGAAAGTGAAGCTGAAGACAACCTTGATGACTTAGAAAGGCACCTGCGGGAAAAGGCCCTTCGATCCATGCGGAAGGCTCAAGTGTCCCCACAGTCCTAGGTGGACATGTTTGTTACGTTGTAAATTTTATTTGGTTTGTACTCAATTCAATTTCAAAATTGCTAAAATGTGTTTGAGCTTTAGACTATAACATTTGTTGTAATAATTGCTAGGTTCAAGTTCACCATGTTTTTTTTTTGTTTTGTTTTGTTTTTTAAAGGGGCATGGATTTACATTACAAAGGTATCCACAGTGTATTAGTGACATTCTTCCATTGACATTTAGAGTGAAATATTTTAAGCCAAAAAAGAAAAAAATCTTTTTTTTTTTTTTTTTTTTTTTTTTTGAAAGGGGCATTTAAATATTGTTGGGGTTCTTGTGCTCCTTTAAATGCCCTTGCCTCCCCTGAGGTGTTGTTGCCCCCCCCCCTGTTTTTCTTCCTTCCTCTTGAGAATTTTAGCACCCATGTAAATTATGCTCTCAACCTTGTGTAGGTTTGTAAGCTTGCCCAGAAGTGAGACCACTGTTGAAAGCACCACAAAGGTCTGGGTGACTGTTTTCACTCTGCCAATGGGGTCTCTGCTGACACCTTGGGGTCCCAGCTCTAGAGCAGGGAGGCACTGCTCATGGATGCCGGAGATTCTGTCCAAGTGCGACAGGTTTCTAAGTTGTTTTAGAACTCCGGGATTTTGGCCTCATTGGGTTGGTTTGTTTTGTTTTTCTATCTCCCCCTTTTTTTCTCTTTTGTAAAGGCAATTTGCTAGACCCAGCAAGGACCCTTCAGTTACATAAATTTGTTTTATGAAACTGTGTGGTTCCCATCCATATTTTTTTCCCTTACTCTTCCAATTGGTACACACAACTGAAGAGCTCTTGTATTGGCAGGCTGGGAGGGCCTGGACTTGGACATAGTGTCTTGGTTTCACTGTTTTATTTTATTTTATTTTTTAACTAAAGCTATATAAAGCTTGTGGATTAAACAGAATAAATTTCTAAATTTAAGAACATTGCTGCTCACTTTCACTTGCCTGGGTACTACAAGACAACTCTACCTTCTTGGTAGAGCTGGGTATGCTGGGAAAATAAGAATCCATGAAACAGGATTTTCCCTTTTTATTCACTAATTAACTTCAGAGAGTACTAGGAGGGGAAAGTAGGTGAGTTCTTGGAACATGAAAAGCAAGGGAGACTAATTTACCAGCAAAAGCAGATCTAGTTGAGGCAGATTACACTGTATTGTTGCACTCAGATGTGAGGGGCCTGGCACTCCCAAAAGGGAACTTGGAAGTGGGCCAGGAATATGAGCCTGAGCAGCAGCCTGTGTGTGTGAAGGGAGCTGAGAGCACCAGTAGTCTGAGCTGAGTACTTGAACTTAATGGGTACATTTGGTAGTCATTGCTGACAGTTGACACAGAAATACAAAATGCTCGGGTCTTAATTTTAAGAAAACTTAGGGTTTGGAGTTTTTGTTTGTTTCTTTTGGTTTGGGTTTTTTGTTTGTTTTATTTGCTTTTACCCAAAAGGCACAGACAGAAGACCTCAGTGCTGATGGGCTGTTTCTACATGGGGTTCTCCGGGGTTATAACAAGGAAAGGGGTAGTAAATGAAGATAGTCCTGAAGGACTCCACAGCTGGCAATAGAGTCTCACATGAGTGCAGGCGTTCCAGGTTCTTCCATGTGTTACAGGTGGAAAAGAAACTTGGAGAGGACACTGGAAAAGCAGTGTTCAGTTTTAGGAAGGTTGACTCCCAATATAGACAGCCAGTGGACACCATTGGAATATTTCCATCTATTTAGCCCTTCATTTGAAGCATTTATAACTTGACTCCTGCTCCTCATTAGTTTTCATTCTTTTCTTTGGCTGCTCTTAGCAGTAACTCCATTTTACCCAACTGAAACCAGACAAACAGCAGTCTTTGGCTACACAGGAAGGTCAAGTTATTTAGAGGCTAACCCAGATTACATGACACCCTGTCTCAAAAATGGAGCCAGGTATGTTAGCACTCTGGAAATGGCAGGAGGGTCATCCTTCTGAGCCTTGTCCCTGATTTCCTTTGAGACCGGGTCTTGCTGTTGCGCCAATAAGATGAGTCAGCATTTCACTTGGCAACGCTAATTAGACTCAAAAAATGATAAAGAAATTGAAGGAAGTGAGGAGGGGACTAGATCTGGGTATGGTCAAGATTTTTGTTGTTGCACATATGAGATTGCCAAATTTTAGAGCATTTTTGTTTTTAAAGTTGGGGTTTCTTTTAAGAATAGAAGGACTAGAGGTGTAGCTCGATTGGTAGTACCTACCTGACATGCTCAACACCCTGGGTTCAACCCCAGTACTGTGTAAACCAGGGGTGGGACCCCTGCATTTCCAGCACTTGGAAATTGTGTGCTGAAGAATCAAGTTCAAATTAAGATGAGATCTTGGGGACAAACAAAGGGAAAAGTTCATGTTTAAAGTGATGTGTTCAGGGCTGACGTGATGCTCAGCAGGTAAGAGCACTCACTGGCTGACTTTGTACAGAGGTCCTGAGTTCAATTCCCAGCAACCACATGGCTCACAATAAGAGCTAGTGCCCTCCTGGCATGCAGGTGTACATGCTGAGCACTCATTACATAAATACAAACCTGGGGCTGGAGTCATGGCTCAGAGGTTAAGAGCACTGGCTGCGCTTCCAGAGGTCCTGAGTTCCATTCCCCAGCACCCATATGGTGGCTCACAACCGTCTATAATGAGATCCAGTGCCCTCTTCTGGCCTGCAGGCAGATATATATGCATACATAATAAATAAATTTTTAAGAAAGTATATATGTATGATACTTTTAATTAAAGTGATTGTTATATGCCAACATTAACAAGGGGTGAAGTGTCAGTTTCATCCATCAACTTGACAAACTTAAGAGTCTCCTGGAAAGAGGAAACCTTAGCTGAATAATTGCTTTCTTCAAATTGGCCTGTGGCCATATGCGTGAGCCATGGTTTCAATTGCTAACTGATTTGGAAAGTGCCACCCTAAGCAGGTGGCCCTGGAGTATATAGGAAAGCTAGCTAAGAATTGGATGTGGTGGCATAAACCTTTTTAATCCCAGCACTTGGGACACAGGTGGGGTTTTTAAGTTTGAAAAATGAAAAGTAGCTGACAGCCAGTTAGGCACATTCCTTCAGGGTTTCTGCTTCAAATTCCTGCTCTGACTTCTGTAATCAGAGATAAACCATTTTTCTACCAAGAAGTTGTTGTTGATCATGTATCACAACATAGAAGTAAACTAGGGCCTGATTTTATTTTTAATTGTGTGTGTGTGTGTGTCAGGGTTTGTGCATGCAAGTGCAGCACCCAAGGAGGCTATGAGGGCATGGAATGGATCCTGTGAGACCTGAAGCAACCAACCACTGACCTTTCCTGTGTGGGCGCCCAGGACTGGAGTTCTGCGAAAGCACTATATGCTCTTGACCTCTGAGACCAGTGAGGGTCTCCAGCCTGGAACTCAGAACAGAGCACCTGTTTCTGCCTTGAGTGCTTGAAGAATTGGAGGTGTGCACACCCATCCCTGACTATTTTCTCCCTTTTTGAGATATGACCTCATGTATCCCAGGCTGAACATGAGCTCAGGAGGCTCTTCAGTGTCTAGGTGTTCACAGATGTGCTCACTTCTGTGCTGGCAGTCTACAAGCAGTTCTATCACTCCATCCCCATCTCCCGTTTTTTTGTGATACTATCCCACTATGTAGCCCTGGGCGGGTCTTGGTCTCCCAACTGTTTAGTATTACAGTTGTGTGCTACTGTATCCAGGAATAGTATGCATTTCATTATGAAGACCTACTTGCACAGTTGCTGGGTTGTTTAAGGTTATGGGGGGGTAGAATAACTGAATACATTACATACCCCCCCAAAAAAAATGAGAAAAGCACAACATGAGTTTGTTTAACTATGCAAAGCTTAAAAAGTAAAGGTGGGCTGAGGAGATAGCACAGTGTGTGACAGCAAGCATGAAGACCTGAGTTCGATCCCCAGCACCCCTGTACAACTAAACATGTGCTGTAAGTCCCAGTGCTGGGAGATAACACCAAAGGAGTTAATGGCCAGTCAGACTAGTCAATTGGTGAGGTTTTGTCAAAGAATACTGGTGTGTCAAGAGACCCAGCATCTAGCTTCTACATAGATGCATTGGGGTGCACTCAGACCACACAACTCCGTCCTTTTAGCACATTTCTTACAACCATTACAAAACAACTTTATGTAGTGGGCACGGACCTGCCCTGGGTGAGTCTCAGATGTGCAGGGGTGAGGTTGGCACATTGTGGGATGGGTCAGCACAGGACAGTGAGGCATAACCTGTGTCTACAGCTGCTCCAACCTATCTCAGGCTGCTGTGCTGTTACCTGGGTCTGGATAGGTTGCCCTATTTAAAGGGCTGTGCCCTGTCATTAAAGGTTTGATAGAGTTTTGCTAAATATTAGGTACTGGTAACTAAGGAACATGGTGTGCTGTGGCTGATGCTAAAATAGTTCAGAGGCAAAATATGGAAATGGGACATGGGCTAAGGACACTGGTGCAGAAGGGTGAGAGTGAAACTTGTAAACTGATGTTATTTATGATGGATTTGCACACAGAAGGATTGCCAGCTTGAAACCAGCCTGGGCTACCTACCAAGAGCCTGTATCAAAATATAGATAGAAGTTAGCCGGGAGTGGTGGGGCCCACCTGTAATCCCAGCACTCAGGAGGGGGCCAGTAGGCAGGCCAGGGTTACACAGACATCTTGAAACCCTCCCCTCCAAAAACAGGTAGGGGTGTGTGTGTGTGTGTGTGTGTGTGTGTGTGAAAAAGCCAGGCTCATAACTATAATCCCAGCATTTAGGAGACAGAGCAAGTAGATCTCTGTGTGTTCAAAGCCAACCTGGGCTGCAAAGCAAGCTCCAGGACAAAACTTTAGACTTGGTTCTAGGTAGTACCTGCTGTTTGTGCGGCAGTTCTGAGCTGCTGAGGCAGATCCCCCGCCAACCCAGTGCCGGCTCGCACTTACGCCTCTAGTAGGTTGGCACAAACGAAACCTCACTTAGAACTACAAACTTGAGATCCTAATGAAATTCAAATGTATCTTTCAATCAAAATACCATTACAACCAACACAACCCCCCCTTTCTTTGTTTCACTTGCCAAGGATAAACTAAGTCTGTTTATACCTATAGTATAAAAATCCATAATTCTGGATTTGACAGGCTCTTTGGGACGTGCCCTCTGCCTACTGCCAGCTCTGGAAATATTTTCTCTGCAAAAAGTTGTGATTCTTGAAGTGATAGTCAGTGAGCAACAGTCAGGTGAAGATGTAGGCTAAGGCAAAGCCTGGAAGCCCAATATGGTCAGCTGAAGCATTGGGTGTATAACAAATGATGTGGAGAGCTGGGCCCTTTCTGTTGCTCAGTGGCAGCATTACCAGGTACAGTGGGTCTCAATGAAGCATACTTCCCAGGCAGGATTTGACAGCAGATTCCAAACAGTGCTGCAACATTTTTTTTTTTTTTTTGGTGCAAGTTTGGCTTTGGGAATTACTTTGGAGATTTTTGGCAACCTGTAAGCTACTCATTGCTGCTTGTCATATACCATTTACTTTCTTTACAATTTGAATTTTAAAAAATGATTCCTGGCACATGCAGCAAGATCAACAATTTTAAAGGACAAGTTTTAGATTTTTTTTTTTTTCTCGAGATAGCGTTTCTCTGCAGCTTTGGAGGCTGTCTGTCCTGGAACTAGCTCTGTAGACCAGGGTGGTCTCCAGCTCACCGAGATCCTCCTGCCTCTGCTTCCCGAGTGTTGGACTAAAGGTGTGTGCTACCACTGCCCAGCAAGTTTTAGATTTCTAGTCAGTTCACAAAGCACCCACTTATCAAGCTTTTTCACTTGTTCAGTTTGCTGAGTGAGGAGCTCCATGCTGAACTTGTTCAGCCACTGCTCCTGTGGCAAATGATTGCTCTCCCTTGGTCGTTGTCAACTTCCCATAGCCATCTTTGCTGT